CTTTCTTTCTTAGAGGAGTGAAACTCTTCCACTTTTCTAGAGTTTTACCAAAGTCGTGAAGGGTAGAACGTGATTCACTCATTATTCGTTGAAGATTGACTCCTTGTTTATTGTGCTTTAATTTTGTAACTCATCTACTTGGAGGGATAAGAATCACTCACTTTTCTAGCTCTACCTAAGCCATGAATAGTGAGTTGTTCCTCATTCACTCTTTAGTAAGAGGTGATGAACACGTAGTGATTATCCTGAGGTTATATTTGTGTATTTTCTTTATGCTTTAATGCTTTGTATTTCACTTATTGAATGATTGAATGCATCTAGCAAAGGTAAGGTATTTTGTATAACTATGAGTTCTTTCTATGACACAAATGCCCGTTTGTTCAAGGCAAGTACCCCGGTTGGATCTTCATGACAACATTTCAATCTTCACCATTATTGTGTTTTATTTAAAGAATGAAACATTAATGCCATGGTTGGATACCTTGTAGAAACACTTGCTTGTTTGTGGATGGGTTGAGTCTCGGCACAGACAATTTTTGTAAACTTCTAGAAAGGCATCGAAACCATGTGCTTAATTCACACAGTCTATCTTTATCTTCCGATTAACTTGTTGTTGACACGGGAGTTAATTGAGTTATAAAACACAAGTATAATAAACCGGAAGATTAACTATATGCTCTGATCCTCGAGCTAAAGGGTAGCTGTTACATTTTGTCTAGAAAAATCCATTGGAAAGAATCTTATATTCTGTCCATAAAATCCCCTAACTTCAAACTCTCAAGGTTTCTTGGTCTTTATCACTGCTTACTTCAAAAACACTAATCATAGTTCATTGTGGATTCGACTCCGAATTTAACCAGATTATTATTACAGCTTGACCGCCTATACTTAGGTGTAAACATTTTGGATCAAGTCACCTATGTTAATAAAGGATGTAAAGACCGTCATACTTCGAAAATAGTAGTTTTATTGGGCCGGTTGTATTTGAGATATTGTCTCAAGACCGTATTTGTTTTGTGGCCACGTTGAGTTTTTTGTTTGATTAGCTCGAGAGTCATTTTTCAATATATATATATATATATATATTTTATTTTATTTTTAAAATGACTACTATTAATGTCACCCAAATTGGAGAATGTTGGAATTTTTTCATATTGAACTTCCATTAATTGATAATTAATTTTTGGTTTGTGAAAAAACGGGCTGAATTTATGGTCTAATGAGATGAACCAAATATTGTTAAGTGATCTATTTTTATGAGCTTATGTACATTTTTTTAATTGATGTGGTAGAAGCGATTAAAGTGTAGACCTCAATTTAATTGTGGCCAGTAATGAGAGAGTCCATTAGATTCATTATAAATAGCAATCTAGGTCCCCTCTCCACTTCATAACCTAATTTTGCTTGTTCCATTGAGAGCCGCCTATTACTTTGAAGAAGGAGAGGAAGACATTGCTCTTCCGCGAAAGAAACTCAAAGATCGACTATCATGGCTTACACATGTATGTTCTAAATCTTGTAATTTATATGTTGTGTATTGTTTTGTAGCCCGGTGAGCTGTTGGGCCACCCATTTGGCCTTTGGCCTTTTCTACTTTTTTTTGCTGCTATTTTTTTCCTTAGATAAATGACCAGTGATTTATATACTGATAAAATACTTGGAAAAATCCAGTGTTATCTAAGTGAATTACTCAAAGTACACTTCAAAATTGATATTTTCTAATTAATGAATTATAAAAATTTCTAATTGACTATATACAAATTACAAATCCTAAATTTTGTCCATGAAATTCTAATTTAATCTAATCGAAAGTAGTTTTTGGAATAGTAATATTGTAGAAAAACCTAAAAAATATTGTGTGACGCCTCAAAATTCGGGTGTCCGTAATTACCCTGTTGATCACACATCAACTCACGGAATACCAGTGAATACCGTGTAACTTGATACCACGTTGTTATGCCCCGTTAACCAGGATTCATAACTTAACAAAAATCGGCAAAATCTCTTTTGCACGGGGAGCTCTACCCAAAACACAATTTGTGCAACAAACAACATTTAACTACACAAAATCCATTCATCCATATTGAATACTACCATGATCACCATCACTATGTACATTCATTCATAAAAGAATAAATGTATCAAAAGAGTCTCATATATATACCTTTTTAATTAAAACAAGTTTTTGTTTACAAAAACTATATAAAACTAAAAGTAAACAAATACAAAGGACTACAACATCAAAATAAAAGCCACAGTCCAACTTTGACACGCAGGAGGGCCTTCGGTGAAAGCCTTTGCGATACTTGAAAAGTGTTCCAATAAATGGTGAGTCAACGCTCAATAGGATAGTTCCTGTAGAGAATACCTTCCAACCCAAATGCATATGAAATGTCACATGCAACAATCATTTCATGCATTCATTCAAATATATGTATTATGAAAAAATGCTATAAATTACGCCATGCCATGAGATTCGCGCAAGCAATACCAACACTGAGCTCTATCCCGAGCTCCCACAACACATGCAATGTCATGTGTATATATCTGGACATTTCAAGCCCCTATCGTTGGTGTTATGTACACTCAATAACTAATTAATTCAGGATAGCTCACATGCGACTCCATTTTTGCTGTTACATTTTTTTGGAATTACATCGCCGAAAAGTGTATAAACCAAGTAACAGGGTCTGACACTCGAGGGAGAATCTTATCCTTCTTACTACACTCTGACATGTTTATCTATTTAATTTTTTGTGCTACTCAGCCGAACCTTAGTGCGACTTTCCTGAGCCCCCGATCAACCACCTACGTGGTGATTAATTTCATACCATGCACACACTCCCACCCATGTCAATGCCGATGAATATAGTGTGACTCTTGCATAATGCAATGCAATGTGCAATTTTCTTCGGTGCCATTTATAATGTCAATTATATAATGAATACAAAATAATGATATTTTCAACACAATCCTAAGCATGTTATGTAAGATAATCAACTTAACTACATACTTGTATTCGCCTAGGCATTTAAACAAATACCTAGAAGACATATCAATTTACACAACTAGCATGTTCGTTACTTCCAACATGGCAACATGTTTATTAATTCTATAAACATAAGCACAAATCCACCACACTAATCATATGCTAAATTATCATTTAACATACATATCATTTCATAATCACATAATAAGCTATTAATTTTATTAAACTTGATATGCCATTAAAACATTAAATCATGCTAATGTACAATTAATATGATTTAAACCACTAATATTAACTTATACCAAGTTAATCATAATAGAATTTGACTAATTACAATGTTAATTATATATCATATATTTGACCCACAAGTTATACTAGCCGAGACCTAATATGTGATATACGCCATTAGCTTACCCATTTCATATGCCATCTTTTAAGTTGAAATTATATCTAAATAGGAGAAACTCTACCTTCGTAGCGTGAGCCTACATAGTAGAACTCTAAAGAAAACTCGAATTTAGCTTCTTAAGTTTTAGTCCTAGACTATTCTCTTTGATATTTTTAGAGAAAGGCGTGATCTTTGATATGATTGCGTAACTCGTGTTATGTAAAACAACTTTAACTCTTGGCCCGAAGTGATCAAACAGTTTGATCTTCGTAGATCTAAGGAAAAAAATGAATACACTAATTTTTTTTGCCTTTTCTTTTATTTTTCTCTCTTTTTTATCTCTCTGTCTCGTTGAACGTTGGAGTGCAGAATAAGTGGAAGACAGTGTTAAGTTTAGTATATTTTTATTGAACTAACGTTAAATTATTTTTTGGGTCCTGTAAATAAAATCTAATTGCAATTACTTTGGTCACGCGACACCAAATTACTTTGTAACACAAGAAAAATTTGACTGTTTCAGAATTTCACAAAAATTGATTAGGTAGCTAGATTTTGCGAGACAAATCTAACGGTGAGGTCCATTTCTTCATATGAATTATATAAAAATTCACATTTTTGACCTGTGCTTGAACAACTAATTATTATTTTATCCCTCTAATTAAGATTTTAATTAATTTTTTTTCTTGGGTTTTATATACTATGCTACCACCTTTTAAACATTTGGGGAAAAAAAAAAAGGGAAAAACCAAAAGGAAGGAGAAGATTGAAATGGAGATGAAATTGAAACCAATGAAGATAAATATCAAGGCAAATTAAACCATAAGGACTGCAAACTCAATTAAGATAGCTCCCAGTGGTTTTTTTTTTTGGTTCAATGATCAAGGGTATTCGAATTACCTTACGCGTATTTTAACTAATTTCTTCTCCGATTTAATTAAAAATAAGTCATCCACACCAAAATTAAAATATTCTTTAAAAATTCAAAAATCTTATCCAGTAGTCCACCCTATCCAATAGCCCACCTTTGTTGGTAGCTAGATGGCCGAAATTTTTGACAGAGCTTGTCGGTGTGAATGAGTTCTCTCCATTCTTGACTTTTTGGCCAGAAACTCTCTATAAATAGGAAACTTAGTGAAGGCCAAAAACATGCTCCAAAATTAGTGAAGAAGAAACAAAGAGAGAGATCTCACTATGAGAGAGTTCTTGTATTTATTTCTAGACAATATATAAAAATTTTCTATTATGTTTATATCTTGTTTGAAATATATTTTCAGCCTTGATTTATCATCATTCTTGAGGGATAAATATCTCATAATCTAGCCTCAAATAGTTGTCAAAATTCGAACTCAAAAAATTTAAGTTTACAATTCGTCCCTGTTGTCAGTTAAACTACTCTAGCTTGCCTGAGTTCATAGCTCACAGTGGTTGAATTCTGCATAACAATCCTCCTCAGGAAGGGATTAGAGGGTTATAATTGTTAGTTAACACCCTTTGCAAGTGTTATTTATAATAAGAAAAGTCGGGGCTGAGCTAAGCTATGGCGATACAAAGTTCTAAAACGTCATATTCTCCATGTACTGTTTGGTCTCACAAACTTAACCCAACATAATCTAGATTTCACTTCTATGATCCTGAGGGAAAACCTTAATTTACAACATATTAGAATGTCATAATAGAGAATCCATTATAATGTTATAACACAAGTAATCTCCAGCATTTGAAATGTGTAACAACTACTTATATCTGACTGTACATTAATTTTCTGTACAGTATATTTGGATCTATTTTGTACCAATCCATTGTCTATCGATGAATATTTGTATGCGATCAGAGGTATGGGGATATTATGAATTTCTCTTCTTTTTTCCTGCAAGAATTGGTTGAATTTGCAGTCTCCTACTGAAAGCCTCGTTGAAAAGAAAACGAGTCTGGAATGCTGAAATGATTGGGAGCCATGCCAAAGAAGCAATGGGTGCAAAGAGAGCAACGCCCATTCCATAGTCGTAAGCTTGGGCAAAGACTCGGGTGAAATGCCACAACCCAGTAGCCTCAATCGTAGGCCTCATAGCTTGTGCAACCTGAACAAACCCAAAAATATTAGTGCAATAGAGTGCAAAAAATAGACATGCCTTGTTTTTTTTTTTTTTTCTTTTAGGATGCAAAGAATTAACTCCAATTAAGCTTACCAATATCAAGCCCCAGCCGGTTGGAAAAAATCCCAGACAGCACACTATCAAATCCCTCAAAGATAGATCACAAATAATGGATAAAATTATTATTGTAGCTACAACACCCAAGAAAAGAAATGCTTTAAACAGCCTGAACGCTAGGTGATAATTTGCACTGAGATATCGCCTTCCCAGATTCACTGCCTGTGTAGCAATTAGAATAATTCAGACTATTGAGACAATCTTATACCATTTGAGGGGGGTTACAAGTAAAGTACTAAGGACATAAGAGTAAATTCTGATAAATTAATTGGTTTTGCATCCTTTTAGCTTGAAAGTTCAAAAGAAATAAAGTAAAGGTCATCTAGGTATTAGAACTTGAAGGTTGGTTTCTAAAAGTTTTCTTTTGATAATAAGACATACCGAGGAAGAAAGAATATCTAATAATCGTCAACAAGGAAAAAAATTATTTCAATAGAATGGAGAAAGAAGGAAGTATTTATAGATTTAGTCTTACAGGCCGTTACCTTTTCATTTTCCTCATACTTTTCCTTCTGATTCATCTCAACAAAACTCTACATAACTGGTTTTAACCTTACTACGTGTAGTCAGACATTTGGGCATTCTCCAGTCTGCAGCCATATCCTTGGTATATTCCTGACATTAATCTACCTTTTCATCTTCTAAACCCATTTTTAATACTTCTAGGTTGTGAGGTTTGATTTCGATGTCTATGCAAGTTTGAAATAGGAATCACAAGATATTGTGAATGAAAAGTGATTGTAGTTGCTGGATATAATGTCTTCTTCGTAGCTACACCTGGCATTAGTCCTGTTCACTACTTATATGGCTATAATTTATTTTCTAATTAGGTAATAGAGGGTCCGGCCAGATTTCCCTTAAACACCTGAAAACATGGAAAATGAGTGTATGAATCAATAAACATTACTAACAGAGTATCAATGACTGCACGGCCTTGGATGTACTATCCAATATGACGTCTATTAGCACCCCATGCATCATAAATGAATTTTCTTGGATGATTTAACTGTCGTTTGGGCACTTTTCAATTGAGTTGCCAATAAACTCATGGCAATTTAATCACTGAAAGATCCATGCTAACATCAAGCAATATTTTTGATAACATAATAGATGTTGAGCAGGTAAAATAGGCATGTAAACATATAATCCAATAAAAAAAGGTTGAGTAGGAGAGTACCTTGACCAACAGGAAGATCACCACAATGACAACCCATGAGAGCACGTAAACTATAAAATTCTTGTTTTGCCCAGATATATCAAGGTGATACACCAGACCATACTGGTAAATGAAAAATCGCAAAGAAATAATTATCTCTATTAATCGAGAACTCAGCCCTGAGTGACGAAGATGGGCTTGCTCATCGTTCCACCAAGACTGCCAGCTCTTATCTTGTTGAATTCCTATACCACCCTGCTGCTTGATCCACTTGTTCCAATTTTTCCAGTCATCCACTATCTTGCCCCAGTTGAATCCAGAAGGATTAAAGAGAAATGGTGCAAACAACCAAGTCAATGACATGAACCAGATAGCATATGTTATCAAGACATACGCCATGCTGCTTTGGTAGGAACGCCTAAACAAATCATAAACAATCAACAGGAGTAGTATTTCAAATCCTTTCACAAAATGACTACGTGAATATAGTCTATAATTTTCGGTGAAGCTGGCGTGAAACACCACAACCTTACGTCCCGTGGGCCTGTATTGGGCACCCCCATGAAGAATTGTTCGGCCATAATAGTGAGATTTTGTTCCAAGGGAAAACGTGAAGAAAACAGCAGCCAGTTGAAATTGCATGAGAACAAAATCTTTAAGAGCAGTAAGAAATCCTCTTTCAAGTCCAATCTCCATCACCATTGGTAAGCCTGTCAAGAGTCCAAGCTGGATAAATGACTGGGAGGCCAGAGCTGTCTCCAAGGACTGTATGTTTTGTATTCTAGCCTCGAGAACGAGTGCTTTTTCTAAGCCACTAAGAACCAGGTAAAGCTGACCGTAAAGGAACACATAAACTCCAATCACCGATATCTGCAGGGTTTCAATTTGAATGTAATCAAACTTATATAGCAAAATTTCAGCTGATTAATATATTAAATGATAAGGTCAATGTGAAAAATAACTAAATATCAGAGAATATAAAAAATCAGCACTCTTTCCTTCGTGGTCAGAACAGTGTTTTGAAAAGCTCGCCTAGGCGAGAAGCGAGGCGAGACGAGCTTATCTCGCCTGGAGGACCCCAGGCGAAGCGAACGTGAGCGAAGCGAGAAAAAAGCGAGAAAAAGCGAAAAAGCGAAAAAGCGAACGCTTTATTATAAAAAGCGATTCTGCTTCAACTTTTTTTTTTTTTTTTTTTTTTTTTTTTTTCTGATTATAGGTTAGTAGTCTCTTTTATTTTTTAATCACTAATGACTTTTTTTTTAGACTATTGCTGGTCTATTTTTTTTTTTTTTTAATAAACAATGTTTTGAACAAAATACATTCCTTTTTTTTCCTTGTGTTGCTGAATTCATTTAGAATATTTGTGGAATGTGGGAGTCGGGCGACTGCACTGCATGACAATTATGATAAAAAAAGGAAGCAGGAGTATCAGAAATGGGGGTAAATAATAGATTCTTCTACAAAGAAGTGTCTCTGATATGTCTTGGTTATACTTTTTCCTTTTCTTATATATATACAAATGGTACCAAAAAGTGGTCTATGCTTATACCATGTTTAATTATTTTAGTACATGTGAAATGTGCCTCTGTTTTGCTTTTTTTTATTCAATATATAATTACATATGAAATTGTTTACAATTGATTCTGCTCCTGTCATAATCATTGTGCTTCTGTTTTTTTTTTTAACTCATTCTGCTTCTATTTTTTTTTGTTGATTCTGTTGCTGCTTCGGTTTTGCTGTCCTGTGTTGCTTTTATTTTTTTTATCCTCATTCTACTTCTTTTTTTTTTGTTGCTAATTCTGCTGTTGTCCTGATTCTGCTTCTTTTGTTGTCCTACCCTGTCAATATGAAAATGTATACAATTGTTAGTATTTGTTTGAATTTAAATGTTTAAGTTATGACTGTTATTAAAATTTGAGATATTATTAGTATTTTTTTTAATTTAAATGTTTATGGTTTTACTTGCATTTAAATATTTAGTATATATAAAATTAGAACTTAGATTGTTTAGAAGTAATTAAACTAAAATATATATTTTTTTTAACTGTTCGCTTTGCTTCGGTAAAGCGTGTCGCTTCGCTTCTCGCTTCTCGCCTAGGCGTTAGGAGCCTTGGTCGCTTCGGTTCGCTTTTCGCCTTAAATAACACTGGGTCAGAAGGAAGCAGCACTTTAGTGTAATGCTTTCAAGGACATTATCTGGTTGAATGTGTTTTTATTCTACCATTAATATGTTAAAAGCTATAATGAACCCGGTCCGAGTTGGTATAGGAATGTGGAAGTGCAAGGGTCAAATAAATGAATTTATAACACTTCTACAACAACAAAACAAGATAATTTCATGATACAAAGAAATTACCAGGCTATTAAAGTAGAATCCAATGGTTGTGAAGTAACAAGAAAACATCCGGAAGAAATCAAACCGACGACCAAGTCGATAAATGTCACGGCTTAGAGTTTGCTCACTGTTTCCATTTGCTACTTTGGCTTCAAACTTGGAAATTGAATTAAGGCCTACATCACGACCTTTGCCAACTTGCATATACTCATGGTAAGTAACATATCCCCGTCGTAGTGTAGTATTAAATCCTATATTGTATCAAATAATTGTAACGTAAATTAAAGTAAGACAATAATGTTCCAAACAACAAACCGAATATATAGCTTCTACCTGCAAAAACATCCTCACTTAAGTTAATTGTCTTTGATGCTTTGCTTATGCCACCTCTTGTTAAGTGAAATACCCTATCGAATAAATCTGGATGTCCATAATGAAATCTGACCCTGTGTAGCAAAATTTATGATGAAAGCAAAATGAGAATGACTAAGCATAAGTGAATGGTTGATTTCAGTGGACTTGTGAAACAGTGCAACCAAATGCTTTAATGCAGCAAGTGAACTGAACAAAGACTGGATTTGCCAATATAATTTTACTGGAAGTTTATGAAACTAGCATGAGGATATCAAGCATGCAAAAACAAGCTACTAGTTACCTGAGTGGATTTGCAAGAAGTCTTTGACCAATGGTGACAAAACTGGTCTCTTGATACGACATGAACCATGCTAAAGAAGAAACACTGCAATTAAAGAGACAACAGAAGATTCTTTGCATGTGAGTTTAAAATAACAGATCAAATTTACGTCACTCAACTACCCAAGTATTTATGTCATGATAAACTCAACTCATGACTTAAGCAAAACCTTGTTCCTCGGCTACATAAATCTTATTCTGTCATTGTGTTCTAATGGACCACTTTTTGTTTAACCGCTAGTTATCACATCTTCAAAGTTAATTTCAGTTTACCCCTACCTCTCACATTACCATCATAAAAGGAGCTTGTATTCCACATGGAAAGCATATGGCCATCCAAGATTGGTTTATATAATTAAAGGGCCATGCTACTCATTACCAATAGATTTTGGGTTGGATGCCTCAACATATCCCAGTATTATACTTTGGTTAGTGAGCAAAGTATATAAACCTCAACATGGTATTAGATCGCGACATTGTGTGTTTAGTGACCAAAGAATGTAAACCATTGAATTTCCTAATTTGTTTATCTGTTTGTCTATCTTAGTTTGGTTTGTTACCCTGCGTGCAAGGAAATAATAGACTTTAATGTAGAGTACGTCGAAGATATCAAAGAATGCGTAGACAGTAGCCCAATAAACAGTGGTAGGTGAGGTAACAAACTAACTCACAATGTGAACAACATAATATCTCTAAGTTATACCAAACTCCCAACAATAGTGTGAGATAGCATAGGGTCGAACAATATAGTGTAGGGCCAGGTTCTAATACCATGATAAATATTATCAAAGAGACAAGAAAGATTAGAGCAGTCAGTCCCTGCTTAACATAACTGATTTGATTCGTTTTATCATTCCAATGATGACCGCTCACTGACCACTCTCTAATGGCTCTAATGGTCCCTTGTGAATTTCAATTTTCTTGAGTTCTAAGACTACTCTAATTACAGGTTCAAAAATAGGGCAAGCCTCTTTCAGCTTAGGGAAACTCTCCAAAGCTTAAATTCTACCTCTTACATCATATATAGAGCCAAGAACAAACTCTAAATTCTTAAGATCCAAAGGTCATTCTACTGTGATCTCAAACCTTCAAATCAAGAAGAAGAGAAGATCTAGTAGAGAACCACCAAGCTCACATCAGATTACGTGTATACCAAGAATCTTAGGAAGGAATCCTTGAAGATTACTCGAGACCTAGATGGATCGTCACGTTCAATTTGTCCATGCTATTGCTCAAGACCTCATAGTGTGGTAATCCAGAGCGTTAGATTCAAGGAAAAAAGCATCTTGTCATGGTTTATTGGTTGAGGTATAAGTTTTTGATCTTGCAATCAACTTTGAGAACAGTATATTAAATTTAGGTGAACCGAGATTGGTCCGTGGTTTTTCCTAAGAGGATTTCCACATTAAAATTGCTTGTGTTGTGAATTGTTGTTTGTTGCTTTAATTTAGCATGTGCGCGCACACACACTCATCATGTGTTTGATGAATTGATTATTTAATTGCTCTATCTAATGTCATCATAAATTTGGTTGAATCAGTGGTTGGTCTTGTTGGAGGGATAAGGATGATGGATTGTATTAGTGATTGAGATTAGCATCCACATTCATTGAGGGGTTTGTTCAATTGAAAAAGGGGTTCATTAAGCTTTAATTGACAAATTAATTGGCTAATTGGTAATTGTGATAATAGGTCTTAAAATTGGTGTAGGTTTAAACGGGAAGTTCCAAAGACCTATTCACCCCTCTAGGTCGTACTAGTGTAGTTCCATGTGTATAATCGTGATGGACAGATCCAAGTACACTTCCCCAACGACTCTAAACTACCCCTAATATTAAATATACTAGGCTATTCTAACATTACCAGCTTCTACCTCTGCATCATGATCCATTACCATAATTGGCAAGCGTCTACATCTGGTGGTAATATCATCTTTCTCTTTTTTCTTTCTTATCAATACCATTGATTAAGCGATAAAGAAACAGGTCATAGTCTTATTTTTTTGTCCCTTTGGTGAGGACAAATATATAATGCGACCCATAATTCATAATAATAAAGCTATCCCCTGGCTGTCTCTGTAATGATACAAAAA